TCATTCCACTATGAGGCTTGCACAGTAAAAACTAAGATGGTGGCCATAAGGGGCAGAGCCTCGCTTGGGAAAATAATCCAGTTGGGTGAGGAACACAGAACCCCAGAAGATTTAAGAAATGGTTTGGTTAGGAGGAGGACCCAAAACAAGCCGGCAAAGAATTGGGAAATTGATTGGTTTTGAAAGAGCACTTGGTCCTTCCCAAGCCTGAGATAATATAATCCAAGCTTAACAAAGGCAAGCTTTCTCTCAACCCCCGCCCCGTAACACACATTTGTGGGTTCATGTGCTCACGTGTTCTCTCTCCATAGCAGCCATGTGGGCTAGCAGCTGCCTGAGGCCCATCAGCCAGGCGAGCTCCAAGTGAGGGCTCCAAGCTGGGCTCCAACTGCAAGCCCGGATACAGTACTGCAGCACCAGCTGCAGCAAAGCAGGGAATAGAGACTACTAGCTGGACAGGGACAAAGGCTAAGCTAGAGTAAGCTCTGGCATGGACTGAACCAATGACAGGTTTGTTGTTTCGGTAGCCATTTTCATTATTACCCACAATAAAATTATATGCTTAAGTAGAAATAAGTCAATATTACATCAACAAATTGAGCATTGAAAACAGAGAGGTGCTTGACGGTACCTGCAGTTGATTACTGAGCAAACCATTCCGTTTACTTTGCATGTAAGCATTTGCACTTCCGCTTTTGGCTGCCCGTATCCTGGCGAGTCTGGCTTTCTATAGGAGAAGGAAAATGAATGTCTTGTTAATACTCAATGAATTGTTTTCTTAAAACAGTGCATATACTCTTGTATAATTCCAATGTCAGCATACGTATGTTTAAAAACATGCCAGCTTTTTGTAATTACTGACAATTAAATTATCATCAGATTGAGGCAGGTTGAAACACTAGGAACATTCCCTGGAAAGTGGAATGAGGAAACTGAGACAAATGGCTGAACAAACACACAAATGGCTGAACAAACGGCCGGAATGGCTCAGCAATAAATCATAAGACCCTATCTCCCTAACTAAAGATGCCTAAGAGCAGATGGTTTAAATCACTACAGTCAGGGAAGTAGATAACAAAACCAATTAGAGCCAGACTAATCCAAGATACAGGCAAAACTAACTAGAAAATGACCCCAGACTCCATTATACACTCATTTTAATACATCAGCATATTAAACAACACGCCCGGAAATCCAATGAATATTCTGTTGCGATCCTCCCCTGGGACCTCCTCTAAAATTCTGGTCTATAGAAAATAGGTAAAACTCAGGACAAAGGATCCCAGCACATGCTTCTTTGAGCGCATCCATGCCCCCTTTCCTCAGGCGTGTATTTGTTCCTTCTATCCTAAGCTCTAAGGGTACCAACAAGGGTACCAGGGGAGCAATGGGCTGTGGAAGCTCATCCTGATCTTACCCCCAATCCTATCTCCAGGGGTCCTTCCTTTGCCTCCCTGTCCCAAATGTTAATAAATTTACTGTTACTTTCACCTGGACTCATGTCTTGAAATTTTCCCCAAATGAGTCAAGAGCCTGTAGGTTGCTTGACCTGTGAAAGGTCCTTGGCCTGTGAAAGGTCCAGGGCCAGCACCCAGGGCGGAAGCCGTCTGGTAACAATATGAGCACTTTATTTTAGTTAACATATGGGCAAGATCAATTAACTACTTTGGAGCTGGGTTATGCATTTTAAAGATTGTAATTAAGTCTTTACAGTAAGATCAAGTTATTTCATTATTGTTTCTGTCAATAGTGTTAAGAGAAAAAATAGCTAGCTGTATTACTTCTAGTTTCACTTATCCCACTTCACTTATCCCAGTCTGAGTAACTTAATGAAATAAAGACCCAGCAAACCAGCTGCCAACTCTTTTTTATTTAAATTAATGTCCTTTTAAAAATTAGTAATTAAGTTTCAGACACCAATTGCCTTTTTTCCTTTCTTTCTCCCTCCATCCCTTAAAAACAAAACAAAACAAAATTTAGTTAACATCTGTGCCTTCAAATATAAACTTTTTTTTTTTTTTGCAATCAGTTTGCTAAATTGGCCAGTATAGAACCCATGCTGAACAATGGCGGCTTCTCAGAAAACTCCCTAAATGTTTCCACTAAATTTTTTGTGTCACAGGTCCACACAAAAACATGCTCACCTAATTTCTGTTTCACCTTTAGATCTGTTGAAATAAACATAGTGCTCCTTGCTGGAGAGACTAACATTATTATTTTTAATTTTAAAAGCATTTATGTATAGAGAATGTTCTTCAATGTAGAGGGTTTTGGGTGGTCAGTTGAATTGCTCACATTGACAGAGAGATCACCCAAGTGATATTATTGATCAAACTGACTGTGTAGCCAGATTCCCAGGATTGCATTCTCCTTTAGAACTGCTGTTGTATACCTGCTCCAGCTGTCATGGAATGAGTCTGATTTTCACTTCCTGGAGAGCAATCTTCTGGTGGCCGTTCTACTTATATGATGTATATCTAGTATGTGTGTGTAAGGAAGCAACTGGGATATCTTGGCTAAAAACATTTTTGTAAAATTATCCTATAAAGAATCCCTTTTTCTCCTTTCTACACCCCCACCCCCCAAAAATCACCTTTGATTTCTAGCCCTGGAATATTCTTTTTAATAACAATTAAAATTTATCTAGATTTTAAAAATGGAAAATGAATATATACATGTGATAAAACTTTAATACTACAAACATGCAGGAAAATCAAGTCAGTCTCCCTGGACCCTGGAGCTATATTACTTCAATGCTTCAGAGTCAACCACTGACAATATTTCTAGAGAATCTTGCCTTCTAGAGGTTTTCTAGGTATATAAAAGCAAGTATATGTACATGCACGTGTGTATACGTTGGGAGAATACGTTTCACAATTTTACACTCAGCTCTTTTCACTTAATACAGCTTGGAGTTCCTTCCATATCTACATGTGTAGATCCACCTCATTTGCTTATGGAGGTATAATATACCACTGTATGAATGAAGCATCATTTATTTGAGCTTATCTGCAAGACAAATTTCTAGAAGTAGAAGTATTCCTGGACCAAAATGTGTGTGTGTGTGTGTGTGTGTGTGTGTGTGTGTGTGTTACCAAGCTTCTTCCAAAGTTGTAGTACCAAGATGGCCCTTCACCACGGCATTTAGAAGTAACACTGAGATGTCTGAAGCTCTCAAAATAACATTAAGATAACATCTGGCTTCAACTTGACTCCCTTTCTCTTCCTCCATGAATTTATTCTTCTTGTGTGCCGATTCCAAGTTAAAATAAAACTTTGCAGAAAGATCACACTTATGTGTGATGGGAAAAACAGACAAATTTTTCTCTTTGCTGATGGTATAATATTTACATCACTTAAAATACTGAGACAATACTACACGGTGAAGTTGGAAGTTAGAAATGTTTTAACTTCAAGGCCATGCTGCTCAGCCAGGATTTCAGGCCAAACTCAATAAAACAATGGCAAGTGTCAAGCACACCTGGAAATGACTTAGAATTGATGGTAGAAATTCAGAAATAAGTAAGTTAAATACGCATTTCATTTTCAGAAAGGGGTTATTGTTGGAATTTCAGTCCCTAAGTCTCACTGGTCCCCTGGAACTGTCAAAGCCATTTTTTGTTTCTCTTCCTTGCCCTTCCCCTCCCTTCCTTCCTCCCTCCATCCCTCCTTCTGTCCCTTCCTCCTTTCCTTCCCTCATTTCTTCCTTTTTTTGTTTCTTCCTTTCTTTGTTCTTCCTTTCTTTTTTTTTAAATATATATTTTATTGATTTGTTACAGAGAGGAAAGGAGAGGGATAGAGTGTTAGAAACATCAATGAGAGAGAAACATCGACCAGCTGCCTCCTGCACACCCCCTACTGGGGATGTGACCGAAACCAAGGTACATGCCCTTGACCAGAATCGAACCTGGGACCCTTCAGTCCGCAGGCTGACGCTCTATCCACTGAGCCAAACCAGTTAGGGCGTTCTTCCTTTCTTTGTTCCTTCCTTTCTTCGTTACTTTCTTCTCCTCTCTCCCTCTCTCTTTCTTCAACTACTAATTGTAACTAATTATATATCATAGTTACTCTATCAAAGTCACTAGTCTTACCTATGCCATTCTATCTGCATTTAGCAGCAGTATTAGGGCACATTATATCTTTCATAAAGGAGACATAGAAATTAACCAAAAATAGTCTCCAGCATAGGAAAATGAAACATCTTTCTCATGGAAAGTATACATATGGTGGCAACCACTACAGTAGAAGTAGTTCTAAAGCTTAGGAAAAAAGAAGCAGTTATGTTAGAGACAGAATTACCATTTTGCTAAGTCATGTGCTGTGTTAGAAAAAACACACACCTCCCATCTCAATTTCAATTACCAATTATCTTTCATTTGGGGTTAATTGGTTTAATTGTTCTTGTAGAGCACGGCACCAAATGTCTCTTGAATGCTAGCCCCTTTATGACCTGTGATTATATCTTTGTTTCCAGTAGGTAATTGAGAGAAATTCTTTTACAAAGATATTTTAGAAAATCACTTTACTTCTGTTCCACTCATTATGACAATCTTGGCAACTCTGGCTGAGTAATTGGGAGGTTAAAAGAGTACTGTTCACTAGTAAGAGGAAATGTACTCCTCCTAGCCTGCTGCTCCCAGCCCTGTAGGAAATACAACTTCTTTGCATGGTCAAGTACTAGCAAATATTATGGACGTTAGAGCAAGATTTCAGTAAATATTAAGCCTATATAAAAAATAGGAGGCTTCCAAATTTTAATTAAAAATAAGGCTCATATTGTCAGTATAAAAAATAGCTTTGCAGTTATTTTCAAATTCCTAATCTGCCTTGAGAAATATTGATGGTGCTGGAAAAAAATTGTCTCATAAGCACATTTTTCCTATGCATTCCAATTTTTCACAAATTTATTTTTTTCTTAATTCCTTAAACTTGGGGGTTTCTCAAAGTTAGTTTCATAAAACTAGTACATGTTATAGGCAACAACCGAATGAAGCAAAATGGTTCTGTGATCAAGAAAGTGTGGGAGCCCTACCTAGTTTGGCTCAGTGGATAGAACGTCGACCTGCAGACTGAAGGGTCCTAGGTTTGATTCTGGTTAAGCGCACATGCCCAGGTTTCAGGCTTTATCCCCAGAAGGGGGTGTGCAAGAGGCAGTCAATCAATAATTCTCTGTGATCATTGATGTTTCTATCTCTCTCTCCCTCCCCCTTCCTCTCTGAAATAAATTAATATATGTATATAAAGAAAGTTTGGGAAATGCTGAGAGGTTAAGTAGGTTTCTTTGAAGTTGGATTTCTCGCAAAAGATCACATTGTGGATGTTCATTGTGAAGTAGAGAGGGGGATATAGTATGAAATTTTTCTCAAGCTAATTTGACATGGAACCCTTCATTGTGGCGCATTCAGAGGCTAGTGTGCAGGGGTTTTTGGCAAGTTGGTTGTTTTTCAATTGCACCAAATGACATTATGTAGACTTCACCACGCATTCTCTGGAGCAGTGGCTGGAATGCCAGTCATAGAAAGATATACAAGCCCCAGGCCCTTGAGACAGTGACTTTCTTACATGGGATCTGTCTTCTAAATGAGGTATGATGTACATTGAGAGACATTATATTAGACCCTCTTCCTACCAAATCACAAAGTGTTTTCAATACTTTTGAAATACAAAGGTATCGTAGGCAGCCTTGTGAGATAGAGAAGGCTTTATCCCTTGTAATCTGAGGCACTT